AATATTTATTTTTAATAATTTAAATAAAATTAGTAACGGTTGTGCTTAAACTGCTGTACCAAATCATGCTATAGCTCATAAGATATTAAGATGTTAAGAAAAAAAAAAAAAAAAAAAAAGCAAAAAAAGAGCAATTTTTCGATGAAACTTCTTCGTAACGGCTGCGCCTGAGATATCCCAAACGGTTAAAAATTTCAGGGAACTGAAAGAAGAGGAAAGACGGTTCTGAGATCTCGCGAAAACACCTGTAGCCATTAACCACGCAAATTAAGAGGCACCGAAAACTGAGATTCCGCCTGCCGATTTCGTCTGCTGTCTCTCCAGTTCTGGTGAATTCTCCAGTAGATTCTCCACTTTACTTTCTACCTTTTCGGCAATTAGATTTTTCAAAAGTTCTGTACCAGAACGAAGTTGGGTAGAACTCCGGTCACTCCACCAAAGCAGCAAACCTAGATTTTCGAAATCATGAAGTAATTAATTGTTGGGGCATTCCATATATATGTGGTAGTTGGTAAAATTCTCATTGTGTGTGAGCACTGTTTTCTTGGAACTGTTAATTGTAGAGTTATTGAGAGTGCTGGACATTGTTGTTTCTTTATTGTGCTTGGAACTTTTGGATGAGGGGAAAAAATTCAGACTTTAAGAATATGGAGTTTATTGAAGACAAAGTGGTGGAGCATGTTTAAAACCGTATTTTTTTGTAAGCTAAAACGTTATACTAACAGAATCAAATGCTTGAAGACTACTCTATGGTTCAATTTTTCTCTCATGAAGATATCAAGACGATTATTTGAGTACACTCAAAGTTCATAATTTATGGCTATGGCTTTCATTTACTAGTTGTTTGAAAGGTTCAACTTTCTCGGTTTCCTGTGATTGAACTTGTTAGGTATTACCATTAGCATATGGCAACTATTTCTAGCTGCATTGAATTTTTGGGATCCATCATGATCAATACTTCTCTGTTGTGTATATTCAGGTTGGGGCTGTTGTTGGCTTGATCAATCTTTCAACAAATATAAATGTCCAGTAAGTTCACCACCGTTTAGTCAAATATTTGCCTTCATCTGCACTCAGATCCACTAACATGTATTATAGAGAAGAGGGAAAATGGAAAAAACTTCGCCCTTCCCAAAATGAGAAGTTGGAGAGAGTTCGAGGACTAAAGGGGGGTTCTGGGCCTGCAGAGCGAGCCACAACCTATCCTGTCAATCTAACTACACTGGAGATTTGGCTGCTGGCTTTCTTGAATTTGTGATTTAGTATAGCTTTGTTTCAATGTTTTCTTGTCTGAGGAAGTTATTCTTGAGAAAAATGATTGGTATATATATGTCATCTTTAAAAGTATCCATTTAAGACATTCAACTAAAGGGTTCAATTAAAAATTGCAAAAGTAGGCATTGCATCATCACAGGAGCTTCTTTGGTCCCTATGGAATGCTCAACTCAGGACATTTACTACCCGTAGTTTGTCATTTTTGCTTATTAAGGCTGCATGCAGCTTCTTTGTAGGTTTCCCTTTTATTAATTTGGCTTTATCTAATATCTCTTGCTACCAAATATGGTTATGTTGCAAACTTTCCAAGAATAATGCTCATCTGACATTCTTGGGGAAATGAATGTCCAAAATATTATTAGTATTATTATTTTCTGCTAAGTTTAATCAATTCTTTCATTTTTAGTAAAGACTAAGGTTGATCAAATGATTGATTATCTTTGTTCATTCATTCTCTTAATTCTGGACTTTACTGTTCCTGGTTCAGGTTGTGGTTATATAGTACAACTTATTTGTGGATCCACTCAGGCAGTCAACTTTGTGTCAACTGGTATGGTGGACTGCTTTGTAGATAAGTATGGCTTCTTTTTTTATGAAAAAAAGTAAGCATGCTTTCCTAAGAAAATATAGCTAAGTAATGGCTGATGCTATAAGGCTACTGCTTTATCTGGATATCAGTTTATTGGAGTTCTGGTGAGATTTTGCTCTGTAATCTTCTTCTTGATTTGTTCTCTTTGTTATTTAACTATTTTGATTGTATCTGAGCACTTGGAGGGATTTATTCTTATGGTACATTTTGGATCAGTTTTATTGGAGTTCTGATTCCATTTTCATCCTCCTTGGCTCCTTTTGCTCTTGATTTTATCCTTTATTCAATATATTTTCCTTTGTTGTTCGAAGAAAATAGTAAGTGTGATATCTACTGCCACTGATATTCATTGCAGCCTCTTGGCATTTGTTCTTGCAGGATCAGGAACAAGGCTACACAGCCGTCCATAAACTAATTACTGCAATGGTGCGCCCCCTAACACATGAAACTTGGCACCTCAACTTTTATTCTGCTTACTTGCACTATCGTGGTAAAGAAGTGAAGGAAAAAACTTTCTTTTTGCTAAAACTAGTATCTATGTTTAGACTACTCAAACTTCCCCCTTCTCTTTCAACTCACTCTTCATTTCTTCTGACTTGGCTCCATTGCTCTTGCTGAAGAGAGAAAGAAGCCTTCTTTATTATTACTATTATTATTATTATTATTATTTTAATTATAGGACAGCACTATGGGGAGATGTGTTTGATTTGGTCTCTGTTTTGGATGATGCTATAATTGTATGAGAATTCCAAAGGGAGTAAATATTCTTGTATTACATGATTAGATGTTTTACACCTGATGAGTCTCTGGACAAGGAAGTTTGTGTTTTCTGCCCTGTAGTAGGATTGGAATGCTTAAATGCACCGGTGAAGTTTAATACTCCTTTTGATTTCTCAAAAATTTACCTAAGAATTAATTTTACTCGTATTTCTCCTTCTGCTTTATATGGGAAGCAGAATCAAGCTTTACACATCCTTTCAGATGTGGAATGTATTGACCACTGACAATTGCCTGATGCTTAAGCTCTCTTATTTCTCTACGCCTTTTATATATGGTGAAAGAGTTTAGCACATTCTAAGACTAAGTACTTCTTTTTGTTATTATTCATTAGAAATAGTTTCACTATGGGAAATATCTATTTTTAGTTGAGATTTAGAGTCTTTTTAAATTGATATGACTATATTTGCAGGCTTAATACTGGTTTGATCTGGGAGCACCTGTTAACAATGGAGAAGAATCATCTCTCAATGATTCTGTAATTCTTTGTCTACAACTCAATACACTGGCAGAAAGATGCATCACATTTTTTAACAAGCTCTGTTCGCAGAAACAATCAAAGGGAGTATAATCAGCATCCAGACTGAGGTGGCTGTGTCCTAACTGTGCTCACCAAAGAATGCCATGGTTTCGTCTAGTTTTTACCGATCAAATTAGTTCAACAGAATAGTTTTTCACCCAATGTAGCAAAAAGAAAGAATTTTTTTGGAAAGACTGAGGTGGCCCTGACTACTGGGCATAAGTTTTGTAAATTGCAGGAAATAGAGTACAGAAACCAGAATCACTACAAAGGAGAACTTGGCTTCAGTGTTTCATTCAGCTGAATTTGGATCCATAGCTTTCACTTTGATTGATGTAGATAATAGATTCAAATGCAATTACCTCAGTTATTGAATTACTGTAAGTAGGTTTTTTTCACAGATTTATGACTGGTGATATATCATAGCATTATTTCCTCTAGTCGATGAAGAACAACTTCAATAAAATCCACCATTACTTTGCTTCACCCCATCTCTGTTACTTTCTTTCACAGAAGAAGGTGCACACTAACTTGGCCAAGAGAATAGGCGCCTGTTGCCCTTGAAAGTTTAAGGCTGATTACATAAACTTCTTTCGTGTTAAAGAAGCAGTAATAGCAGTACACGGATAGTTATAGCGAGTTTCGACAGCAATACAAGGATAGTTATAGCACGTTTTATTGTCTTCATACACTATGAAGCAATGCTACCGCTGGCTAAAGCTTACAAAATCTCCAAGAAAGGAACGTACGAGGATGACTAAGGGACTAGCAAATGAAATCTAAATGTTCCAGATACCTCTTTTTTGTCAATTCATTTTCACAATTTCTGGATTCGTTGAGGATGTGGCGCTGTTGGTCTGAGAAGAAGCAGTTGAAGCATTGCTACGCTTCTGGGAACTCTGGCTTGAGGATGATTCAGTGAAGAAAATTATCTGTTCTTGGTTGTCTACAAACACTTGTAGAGATCTCGGAACTGGGGGCAGGTTCACATCCAAAATCCCCTCAAGGATTTGAACAACCTGCCCCATGGACGGCCTGTGAGTTTCATCATCTTGGATGCACCAACATGCCACTTTGCAGATTCTTGATAGCTCTTCTACATTGGCGTTGCCATCCAACCTCGGGTCTAACAGCCTAAGGACATCGTCCCCTTGAGACACTATGCTTGCAGCCCAAGTTGGGAAGAAACGAACTTTCCCATCTGCAGTATGTTCAGAGTTTCTCGTTCCTGATACAAACTCGAAAAGCATCATCCCGTAGCTGTAAACATCTGCCTTGGCTGTTATGGCTACTCCTGAAATCCAC